TCCTAAAGTCTTCATCCAAAGAGAAGGGAAGAAAGGGGTGTGGCATAAACCAGCCCCCCATTGGAAGAAGTTGTGTTTATAATGACAATGTGGTGTTGTTCCATTTAGTTTTTAACAGGAGTGATTGTCTTGAAGTAGCAGCGGGAAACAAAGAAGACACCAGTCCCACCATCTAATCTTGGACCGTGGGAGACAAGGGCAATGTTGAAACACTTGCGCTGCTATTACAAAATACCACAAACCAGGTGCCTTATAGACAACAAAAATGTAATCCTCAAAGTCTAGAGGTTGGGAAATGGAAGCTCACGGTGCTGGTAGACTTTGGTGTCAGCTGAAGGCCCACTCCTCATAGATGGTGCCTCCCCTCTGTGCCTGTGCTCACTGGAAAGGACAATCTCCTTCCACTGTCTTTCCATAGGTGTCTCAATCCCATTCACAAGGACTCCTGATTTAAGAGGCCCCTTCCTCTCAATACTGTCATCATCGAGGCTAGGGGTTCAACACATGAATGGTAGGCCACAGACATTCAGGTCATAGCACATGACACAGTTATCTTGAGTTTCACCAAGGGAATCAAGTACAGCAGATGCTCCAAGAACATTGGGAATGTAGGAGAGTGTGTTAATCACCTAGTAGGCTCTCAGTGACCGAGTGATAGGGGCTGAAGGGAGGGCAAAAGTCAGGACTATTTAGATGGGATATTATATATATACATATACCATATATATATATATATATATATATGATATATGTATATATGTGTGTGTGTACATATATGGATGCACGCATGTATGTGGTGTATACATGTGAGCATGCACATGGGTGCTTGTTATGTGTGGAGTTCCTCATGCTTGTACGGCAAGCACTTTACCATCTCCTCTGTCCTTAGGTATAGACCTTTGCAATAGTACCAAAATAGCTGGTTGCTTGGTACATAACTTAATAGAAGAAAATTTGTTGAGGCTATACATTTATGTGCATATAAAACAATTCTCCCCATCCTTTAATAAAACAACTGCAGAGAATCCCAGTGGTATCTGATTTGGTTTTATTTTTAGCCATTTTAAATGGCTTCCTTTGTTCTTTTCGATATCTTGGGTCCTCCTTGGTGGTTTGTGGCTTTGATTCTGTTCAGCTCAGCTGGAAAATAAACCATTAGGAAATGCACTTGGGCTTCTCTGTGTGCCCAGCAGCAACCCAAAAAGAATATGTATTTCATTAGTGCACCAGGATGTGGGGAGAAGTGAGAAATCTCTGAAAATGAAAACTCGAATGATGAGGAGAGATATCAGGATGGCTTCACAAATTTAACTTTGACTTTTTCCAGACCTCTTAGGAATCCAAGCTGCTGGAGTAGGTAAGGCAGGTAAGATGCTTAGGTATGTATTCAGCAGGAGAGGGATCTTCTTCCCTAGGTGAGAAAGGGTTTTGTTTGGTGCAAAATAGTAGGTGACTCAGGAAGTACTGTGGCTCCCAAAGAAAATGAGAACAGGAGAAGGCCATAGAAAAAAAAGAGGACACACAGGAGCTGTGACTGTCCCCCTGGGTCAGGCCTACCATCTGTGGAGTCAGAACCAGGTCCAGCCAACCACTGATCTGACCATAAGACTCTACGCCATGTGTGACAGCCCAGCTTAGCTTTTATGTGTGTATGTACATGTTTGTGGATGTTCATGTGGGAGATACATGTGTACCAGTCCATGGGAGGCTAGAACTTGACATCTAGTGTCTTCTTCAATTTCCTCACTCGCTTTCTACTTTATTTGTGTGAAGGGTGTGTGTGTTGTATGTATGTGAATGTCTCTCTCTCTCTCTCTCTCTCTCTCTCTCTCTCTCTCTCTCTCTCTCTGTGTGTGTGTGTGTGTGTGTGTGTATGTGTGTGTGTGTGTTTGGTTGTGTGTGTGTACAGTCTGTGTGTATACATGTCTCTATGGTGTGTGTGTGTGTGTGTGTAGTCTGTGTGTGTAGACATGTCTCTCTGTATGGTATGTGTATGTGTGTTTGTATGTTTTTGGTAAATGAGAATAACAGTATGGCACCCATGTGGAGGCTGGAGCATGACTTCAGGTGCCCTCTTCCATCACTCCCTGCTTTATTACTTTGAAATGGATTCCCTCACTAAGCCAGAAGTTCACTTTTTCAGGTAGGCTGGCTGGCTAGCAAGCTCTCGGGCTCTACCTGTCCCCAGACCCCAATGCTGGGGCTATAGGCAAATGTGGTCTGGGTCTTGAGTATTAGAACTCAGGCCTCATACTTGAAAAGGAAGTATTCTTGACTAGTAAGCCAGCTCCTCAATGCCTTGGCTGCACTAGATGCCTTTGAGCCCCAAGGACCCTCCCGTATCTGCCTCCTCAGCATGGGGACTGCATACATACACTGCCCTGCCTGGATTTCTGTATGGGTTTTGAGGATGAAACTCCAGTCCTTGTTCTTGAGCAGCAAGCACTATTACCCATGGAGCCATCTCTCTAGACCTGGGCCCAGATTTTGATGAGCTTGGAAAAAACACTTGTTGAACTCCCAAGAGTCACTTTTGGGGTCATTCACTGGAGCCTGACTTAATGGTATTACATTGGTAATTATTTGGCAATCTAAATGAATAATGTATCTATTTTAGCAAGAAGGAACACTGTGTACTTTTCAATTCAGTTACCATAAAAAACACAATGATGCAGTGGGCCACATATGTTGCTCTGGTAAACAGTTATTTTTCTCTCCCTGAATTCTAACACCATGGTTCTTTAAAACTGGAATTACCATTGTTATTATTGACTTGTAATCACTCTTCGGTAAAGAAACAGCTTCATCAGCACACTTATCTCACAGCAATAGTCACAATTATCTTTCTTGAGATGGTTCTGTTAGCCAGTCCAGTCCCATGCATACACATGGTATCCCTACTTTCCCAATAGCCCTGTGTGACAGTTATAGGCCCTCAATTTATGGACAAAGTGCTTGGAACATAGACGATTTCTACTACTTAGCCAGGACTCCTTTATTAGTGATCAAAATCACAAAGAAAAGTTTGGCTTAACTCACTTGGTGTCATAGACAAAGCATAGGTCACTGTGGGTTAGATTCCTAACAAGGATTCCGAATCTCTGCAAAATGGCCAATTTTGCATCTCCTTTTGTCCCAAACAAAATTCTACATTGTCTCTATCTTCCCAGGTGACAAGAGCAGGATCCTGGAAAGTTATAGACTTTTCCTTTTGCTTCTCTTAATGTATTCTATTGGTACCAAGTCCTGATGAGGAGAGTCCCCAGAGTCTCCTGATGGTGACTCCCAGCATCATAAGGCAAGTCATCAAAAATAAAAGTATTGGAGCCCCATGCTGGTTCTCTTGAATTAAAATCTCTGGGTACAGGACCCTGAGATTTATATTTTAATAAATACTCCAGGTGATCCTGTGGCATGCTACAAATTCATCTTCCTTTACATCCCAGGAGCTGCTGTTAAGATATGCATTCACTGTTTCACACCTGAACTGCTACAATCACTTCCCAACTAGTGTGCCATTCTCATGAGGCCTCTGCCTCCTACAGGTGTACACACACACACACACACACACACACACACACACACACACACACACACCTCAATAGTCTAGTATATCCTTCTCCATCCTTACATCTCTCCAGGTTATTATCCCCAAATATCTGATCATGTTCAATTCTACATGAAACCAATATTATCCTAACACAGAGTTAGTTGAGACTGTTCCCAAGTGTGGTGGTTTGAAAGAAAATGGCCCCCAAAGGGAGTGGCACTATTGGGAGGTGTGGCTTTGTTGGAAGAAGCATGTCGCCGTGGGGGTGGGCTTTGAGGTCTCCTGTTCTCAAGCTGTGCCCAGTGTGGGACACAGTTGCTTCTGCTGCCTGTAGATCAAGATGTAGAACTCTCAGATCCTTCTTTAGCATCACGTCGGCCATGAAGTTAATGAATTAAACCTCTGAAACTGTAAGGCAGCCTGGATTAAATGGTTTCCTTTGTAAGAGTTGCCATGGTCATGGTGTCTCTTCCCAGCAATAGAAACCCTAACTAAGACATCAAGAAATATGGTTAAGACATATAATCTTAGGTGACTACAGGGACATTTAAAACATAATGAGAAACAATAAAATGGTTGCAGGTAGATGAAGGATGGAGAGGTCTCAAAGGCAGTGAGAGAGACCGGATGGAGACCTCTACCCACTTTTCCCCGTTATTGCCACCATCAGTGAAGGAATTTAGAGATGACACAAAGTATGTCTGAGGGAGTTTATTTCAGATTGAAAGCAGACACCAGGAGAAAGTGTGGATGTCTCAAGAAAGTTTGCTAGCCTAGGATTTTGGATGGCATTGTGAGATCCAATTGATTATTCATGAATTAAGGTATTGAATGCCTAGTCAGTACATGGAGGTTTGTAACTCAGACACAGTCCTACAAACAAGGGCTCGAGAGACACAAGGACCTAAAAGCCTGGAATAGGCTTAACTAAGTGTTCAGTCACGTGGAAGGAACAGGTTAAGCCATGCTTCCTGGAGAGGTACATTTCTGTTGCCCATGAAACATATCATACTATGAGAACAGTTACCCTACCCGGCTATAAATTTTTTTGATGGTGTATTTTGTATCTTATGCTTTTCTGCTTCCTCCAAGGCCAAGGTTTGCATATCTGAAGCCCAACTTAGTTTGTGAAGCTGCTGTTGGAAAGGCACTGGATTGCAGACAGTGTGTTCTGGCACAAATATGTTGTGTAGTCCTGTCTGTCCATCAGTTCTCCCCTCAAGTCCCCCCCCCAATTAATTCTCACCTGCCATAGCCCAGGAAGCAAGGCTGTACTCTTCTCTTCCCTAACTCATTCACAAGCTCAGTCTGAGAATTTGAAAACAGTCATTTGCTTATTAAGTTGGAACTGTGAAGCTTTAACAATGTGTGAGGGGGGGCAGAGTGATTTTAAAAGGTGTGTAGGATTCCCCTGTGTGTGTTTCACTTTCTAGGGTCCTTTCTTGTTTAGGTTGTCAGGGCAGTGTCATGGCCACAGCAGAAGTGAAGATGAGCAGATGGTGTCAACCTGACAGAAGAGACAGGCTGAGACATGACCAAAGTGACAGGAGAATATGTGGAAGAGTTCGAGGTGACAATAATCCTTTTCTGTCGTGGCTTTGCACAGAGACATTTGAACATCTGTGTGGGTTAAAAGTTCAGTCAGCAAAAGGAGAGAGCCCCGGGTGGTGGCTAAAGTCAGAGCACTTTGAGCAACCAAGCAAGTCAAGTAGCATATTTCAGAAAATAAAATAAAACTCTCGGCTATGGATGGAAACAAATGATGGAAGAAGCCAACTGCCTGGAGAAGAATTCCAAGTAATTTTACATACATATTCCATGTTCAAGGATGTGGAGTCTAACTCCCCATTTCTTAACTGTGGGCTGAGAACTGTGATATCCTTCCTAAGGACTTAGTGTGGAAATGGGGGAAAGACCACTTAGAGAGAAGCCATCTGATAAACACTTCCTCAGCCAGGGATGAAGGTCAACATCACCTGTGATGGGTTATGGGGGAAAAATGTACCCATGAAAACACAGAATTCAAATATCATTGGAATTTTACAGTCTCCGTCAAAAACCCAGAACCACTGAATGATTGTGAGAAAAATGCCCGACAAATCCAAATGAATGCACCTTATACAAGCATAGTCAACCACCACTTTTCAAAACAGACAACACAGCACACACCACCACCACCACCACCACCATCAGGACCACCAGCAGCAGCAGCAGCAGCAGCAACAAAACTGAAAAACTGTTAGAGCCAAGAAGAGTCAAATAAGACAAAATGACTAAATGTAACATGGTATCCTGTATGGGGCCCTGGATCACATGAAGGGAATTACATAAAATACAAAAACAATGTGAACAAGTTGTAAATGTTACTTACTAGTGATTTGTTGATTTTGGTGCATTAACCATGATTAAGAAATACATCCTGGTATCTAAGATAGGGCAAACAGGGCACGGGTGTATGTGGGAACTCTGAATTATCATCATAGCTTTTCTGTAACTCTAAAATAAAAAGTATGCCAAAAATAAGATAAAACTTAAAAACAAAGGTGAGTTACAAAATAGAAAAAAAAAAGCTTGCAATTTGCTAGCATTAGAAGGCAGAGGTCCTCTTTAAAAATCTTTGTGTGTGTGTGTGTGTGTGTGTGTGTGTGTGTGTGTGTGTGTGTGTGTGTGATGTATATGTATATTACTATGGTTGGTTTTGATGTCAACTTGTCACAAATTAGAAGTGTCCTAATTGCCCTGTTTGATGTGAGATGACCCACCTGGATGTGGGCATGGCAGGAGGAAGAGCAGCTTGCCTTTTCCAACCATGGCCATCCCTCTTGCTACTGAGTTAATCTGTTCTCTTGCTGTTGCTGATCTCTTTGCTGATAGAACCAGCGTTTCTAAACTTCCTTTGTAGACTAGGGACCAAGAGACTTCCAAAAACTTTCTGGCTTCGGGCACCATGTTGAGACTGCTAAGAAACCACCCAGCCCGAGGAACTGAGTGAGCAATGACCAGCTCTCAATTCTATTGTTACATATGTATTTTCATCTCATTGGTTTTATTCCTCTAGGGAGCCCTAGTACACGCATGTTTGTGCATGTTCATGTGTGGGAGTATGGACATATGCATGCCCATGTGGAGGTCAGGGAACAACTTGGTGGAGTGTTGGTCCTCAGCTTCCACCTCACGTGAGAAACAGTCTGTGGTTGTTTGTTGCTGAGAATGCCAGGACAGTGACCCCCCAAGCTTGCTGCATTCTCTTGTCTCCATCCCCATCTCTCTTTAGAACTGATACTAGAGATGTAAGCTCTGCATCCAGCTTTGTAGGGGTTCTATGGCTCTAAATGCAGAGCTCTTGCTTGCATGATGACCACTGAGTCATGCCCCCGGGTTGCTATGCAACTTTCCCATGAGTCTGCTGGGTGTACAATCAGTTTTGGTGGAATTAGAAGGGAAACGGGCTCTGTGTCTGGAAACAAATATGTGATCTCACCAGTGCTCAGTGGATTCCAGACACACTTCCAGTCACTCAGCCTTGTTTCCCTAGGTCAGTAAGCACATAGGTCATTTTTAAAGGCATATCTAGAGCCTGAATATCAACTGAATATCACCCCGTTTATTTACAGAGACCAGCAAAGTGTGGGAGGCAGACTATCTTTGAGTATTGCTTAAGTGCCATGCTGACTTAACCTTGCCGGTGTAACCTTTCTTATTCTATTTCTTCATCTACAAAGTGAAGATAATGACGCTCCCTGGAGTAGTACAAGGTTAAGGTTAAATTATACAAGATATGTGAAAGCTTTCTGTGACCTAGAAAGGACTTTGCGATCTTATTTTGGAATGTCTTGGGGGAAATGAGGACCTCCTTCAGTTTTTCACCTTTTTAAAGCAGCCTTGTGACTTGTTCACTTGGTTCAGTCTGTCAGACATCTGTCAAGCGTCATTGATATGCTAGGTACATTAAGAAGTGCCTCAGACTGTTAATGGCATTCCTGGAAATAGAAGAAGACAAACTTGGTCTTTTTCGATTCTCATGGCAAGAACAGAAGGTGATGAGATGGGTAAACTACCTGGGGAACCCATGAGAGTCATAACTTAGCAACAGCATCTATGGATGCTGGGGACTGAAAACCCCAATGAAAATGGCCTGAAGAAGTTGTACACTCGGCCAATGGGAAAGTCTCAATGTGGGTGATCTTCAAGGTTTATTAAGTCATTGTCTTAATCATAGCTTCAAGGACCCAGCTCAAAAGCATTTTGTTATCTACAATGATGTCTTGCTTTACCTTTAACTTCCTTAGTATCGGGAGGACTGCCAGCAATTAGCAGGACTTCCTTGGCCCTAGTAGTTATGGTGGGATGGCTACATCCTTGACCTTAACCACACCATCTGACTAACTACCCTCTGTCTGTTCCTAAGCCTGGATTGCTTCCATCTGAACTATTTATCATTTGTTTTATTGCCAGTTTTATCTTTTCTTGTTCTAAATCTCCCCCTTCAGACCGTAACTTTCCATGAGGTCTTGTGTTTCATCTTGGCCATCACTGGTCCCAAATCCCCTCATAAAGAGATCACATCTCTCCATAGCCCACAAGAGAGAGCTTACATTTGCCTCGAGGGCTCGCTCTTCTCTGTTCTCTTTCATGTGCCTGTGCTGCTGCTTTCTTGGCTTCTCACTGCTGATCTGGGGTTCAACAGGAATATTCCAGAATAAGAAAACACTAGCCGTTCTCTGGAAAAAGTCTAGCCAGAGCAGTCATAAGTTAGAATTGTCTGGGTATCAAAACCAGGACCTGTGACTGGAGGAGTCTAGATAGAAGTTGGAAGAGAAGCTTGTTGTAAAGATTGTTACGAACAGAGCCGGGTGTTGGTGGCGCACACCTTTAATCCCAACACTCAGGAGGCAGAGGCAGGCGGATCTCTGTGAGTTCAAGGCCAGGCTGGTCTCCAGAGTGAGTGCCAGGATAGGCTCCAAAGCTACACAGAGAAACCCTGTCTCAAGAAAACCAAAGGGAAAAAAAAAAAAAAAGATTGTTATGAACAGAGAGGAAAAACAAAGGTGGTAACAAGGTGGGTAGTGAAGTAAGCAGGAAAAAGAAAAACACAAGATGGTGGGAGGTGATCAGTTCAGCATGAGGAGTCTGAACGGAAGCTGTGCACTGCAGAACACCTACTATCTATGTTCTTGAACAGCTTTCCATGTGGAGGCTCCAAGAATCCCGAGGAACAGTAATAATTCTTCATGTTTAACAGCATTGTATAACTCGCTGAACCCAGTCTCCAACATCTCTCTATTATTTGATTGTCACAGTTTCTAAAGGTTGGCTAACCTGCAATTGGACAACGTAAGCTTCAGAGTACCTTTCCCAACACCACCCAGGTTGGTGTGGAACAAACTGGATGGAGACATTCTTCTTCAAGTCTTGAGTTTATTCCACCTCAGTGCAGCTGGAAATGGGATAGTGTCTTGAGATAGTAATAGGTTTATAATCTTTCTGGGCTAGATTTCCTGTGTAGACTTGTGTTGTTGTGAACACCTGTATAAGTATGACATTATCTATAATGCAAACTTAAAAAAAAATTTAAAAGACCAAAGTTGAAGCACCTTGTCAGCTCCTGTAGAGTACATCATGGAGAGGTCAGGCCCAAAGCAGCCAGGTGGTGGAAGACTTGGGCTTTAGTGCTCTAAGAATGAACTTTTAACAGGAAGGGGAACATTTGGGAATAAAAAGAAGAAGAAAAGAAAATCACTTGCATGTTCAAGCAGCTAACAAGATAAGAAAGGAGAAAGACACAAAGGAATTACTTGCTCCCCCGGGGTTTTATATTCTCCTGCCAGATCCTTTAATTATATTTCTATTCTTTTTACCCAAATTTAATTTCACCCCAGACTTAAATAAAGAACACAGGATGCCTCATAGAGGACTCAGTAAAACAGCTCTTCGTAAGTTATTGTGCCTGAGCCCAGCCCCACTGGCTTCCCATCTCCCTGTATGGTCCTGGGTCATGACCTCCTAGAAGGCTCTGCCCCTCAGCTGTAACATAGGATTTAGGACATTTGCCATGCAGTGGCCTCCAGAAAAACTGAAGAGGAGCCAGAGTGACAGGCATGAAGATGCTCAAGCAATTTCCAAAGAGAGTTGTCTTGGGGTGGGGGACACTATCATTACTGTACCTCCCAGAATCCCCTGGGTCATGGTTATTATAATTCAGGGATCTCAGCTTCCCTGGCATTAAATGTGGCAGGACCCTAACTGCCTGCGTGGTTGTAAAGGGACCTTAGCTGTCCAAAGTCCCAAGTTCTTTCTGCTCCCCTGGTTGGTTTGGTTTGACACAGCTTTCCTCTTGTAAGGTGTTATCAGTTTGCTCTGATGCATCATGGGCGAGTGTTCTTGCAGAATGCAACTAATTCTCCATATCCATGCTAACGGAGACAGAACCACCTCAAAGAACACTTCTTCTTATGAATCCTTCTAATTCAGCATCGTGATAATTTAAAAAGGCAATAAGGTTATTATAGTCTTAATTTTGCTTTGTTCAGGCTGAACCTAGAAAAGGGGAGAGGTGTTCTTCATAGGTGGGGGTGGTGTGAAGATCACCTGGAATTAAGCCTGCTTCAAGATCTTTCCCCTTACTTGCTGTCATTATTGAAGATGTCAGTACATGGGTTAATAGCTCAGGGGACAGCCTGGCCTCCTTGATTCTTGTCTTTTCAGAACTTTTCATGCATTCACTTCGGTGAGTGCTCCCTTTGATATGCTGACCTTCAAGTCTTCATTCATGCCTTCCAAGTCATTCCCTCGCTCACTTTAGAAACAAGTTCTAACGGGCCAAGAACTTCTCGGAGAACAGGACTACAAAGATTAGAGAAATTTCTTTACCTTGTGGTTTATTGTGGAAACAGGTGAGTAAAATACGACGTGATTCATGACTGGCATAATGGGATATACTAGGAGATCATGATGGAGGAGTAGGCTCTAATCCTAGGGCAGTCATGATTAAATAGGTGACCCTTGACATTGGCCCTGAAGAATGAGTGGGGATTTTAAATGTAGATGGACAAAGATAAGGTTGAGGCAGGAAACACATCCTGGGAAAAGGATCCATCGTGTGGATAGCCTGAGGAGGGAGCGAAAGCATTGGCATTTTGGATGGGAGGGACAACAAGCATCTTAAGAGGGGGAAGAGAGATGAGTCCTAGCAGGAAATCTAATGGCAGATCCCGTCCTGGGTTCATCTTGAAGGAGAAGTGCAACACTTGAGTCTCACAATACAAACAAGACTTTGGCAGAAAAAGACAGAGAACAGACTAGTGGTGTGAGAGAAGGGTAGAGAATGGATCACTGGTGTGAGGCTGAAGGGATGGAATGGGCAGCAGGAAGACCTGTGGGAGCGATCAGAATATGCCAACTAAGAGTTCAGCAAGACCGTAGCCAAGGGAGT